AAGACGGAACTGTTGTGAAGCATAATGTCATCTGTCATTTCGCGGTTCTGAATTCAGTGCCTGATTAGGACTGCCTTTTTTTGTTCCAATTCAACTCTTCCTAATTACGGTGTTGAGGTGGTGTACGACACAGTCATGTGACGGTTAATTGAAAATAGCTTGGCTCTTTTAATTAGATTTACTGAGATGATAGAGCAGTGCGATATCGGCTGACCATCAACATCATCCCTCCAGATAACACCAGGATATTCCAGATTCTATAGTTTGGCAAATCCGGTTGATTTTTTTGTTAACATCCGGCCAGCCCAAAAAGGATTCCACCACAAATAAAACGGGAATCAAACGACGGAAACAAATGTATGCCATCATTGAGTGAGACACTAATCTTTTCACGCACTTCGCAACTAGAAAATGAATTATGGCATATATCTAGGATATTTTACGCGGGACGCAGTTTGCCTCCAGAAAAACTTTCCTATAAAAATGTTTAAGAATGAAAAATCTGGGCAGATAACTCAGAGACCAATCAGCTAGTCATGTCACGACACACGAAAGAAGCATGCTGCCCAACTCCTTGAAAACATGTGAACCTCAGAGACTCCACCTCCGCCGTTTTAAACTTAGAAAAAGTAAATAAATCATAGTCGAGAAGGGAATTGCAACAACATTGTGAGTTTTTCAATAAACTATGGGTAAAACGTGGGCCGTGGAAGATAGAATTCGGTGGAGGAAACGTAAAAAGGATGCGCAACTGGTCTCCAAACTGTAAAAAGTAGATGTTTTGGTTCCAGGGCTTCATAAAGTGGGCATATTTTAAGCTGTTCTCTTGAAAATATTTTCCAATCAGACTGACGAGATAAGTTGCAAATATAGAGATGCTTGACCACAGATTCTTTAAAAGTTTTCTGTGACTGAAAATTAGTAAGACACCGATGAAACGTGGGTCATATCTAAAACTAATAAACTAGAATCTGGGTTTTATAGAACTTTCCACAAAGACGCATATGATCGCAATTCAAAATTGAACAAACCACCCCATCTCTAAAACAGTTTGCGTTCCTATCAGTTTAAACATTGATGAGGAGTCAGAATTCGGATAAATATGCGCTTCGAAGTTATTTGTAGCGGTTTCGTTCGTTTTACTCCCCAACACATATCAGCAATTGATTCCCACTTTCCCACTATTTCAGTGACTTTCTATGCAGGTTTTTTTAAGGTTATATATGCATATAATAATCAAACGAAGTATATTAAAGTTAAAGCGAAGAAAGGTCTATAGGCTGGAATTTAACTAGGCAAATAGTATTTTCACGTTCAAGTTGAACTTTCCTATATTTTCCTTTACTGAGATGTCGGTGCCAGTGTTTTATGGTTAGTTGATTAGGAACCACTAACAAAGAAGATACATAGATCATATGTAAGCAAATACCAAATTCTCACGTAATATCCGTTAGCAATTCAAAAAGTTTACATCATACGAATCATAATAATAGCACGCTTCACCACGATTTGATAATTGAACCATCGTCTTCAACACCATGAGAAGAGGTAGTAGGAAAACCGCTGTAAGACCACCGTGCGGAGCCGACAGATCCAATATGAACTAAACCGAAATGTATAGCAATAGCGAGACCACACCTGGAGTATTTTGCACCAGGTCAGCTGGTCTTAGTCTACAATGGCGCTTCATAAGCAAACCCTAGACCAAATAAAATTGTAAAAATAAAGACATTCTTGGCTATAGAAAAGAAGTAATAAGAGAAGAAGATGCAATCGCTAGAACGGGAATTCGATTTGTTTGGCGGTTGAAAATGACGCTGAAAATTACCTTCAGAGGCGGCAGTGAGTGACTGAGGCGCCTGGGTTGATCCAAGTTTATTTCAAGAAACAAATCTAACTAATTTATTGAGAGCAGCTGGGTAGCAGATATTTTTCGTGACAAAACCGATACAGGTCTGTCCTGGGAGCGTGTAAAATTACACGTCACGTATGTAAAAACAGGCAGTGCTTCCATAGTATGTACATGACAAAGTTGTGAAGAAGCAAACAAGTATGCGTTATGAGGCGACCACTGACTGCTTTAGGCCTGACCGTCGCGTTGTGCGTATGTGCTCCATCTAAAATTCCACGGGCCTTTTTAGAAGACTAGTACTGTAGACATAATGAATTACCAATGTGTACTATCATTCTGGAAATAAGTTCCTCAGTGAAGTAGCAAATTAAAAAGACAGTTTATATTTTCTGGATAATATGAATAGTTCTCGAACCAACTGCATAACAAAGGTGCAAATTTACAGAGACGACGAAAAGTAATGGAAAAAAACAATCTGGAAATATGCAGTTCTTCACTCCTGAATGCAACTTGCGTCAGGATCTGCGGTAATATCTGAATGGTAAACACATCAGTGACATGTGATCACGTTTTGTATGAAGTCTTTTTAAACAGTAAGAATCACCATTCTACGAGCTTCAGCTGCGATTCGAAAATTTAATAAATTATAGTAATATTCCGTAAACGTCACTTGTTTTTGTTTGTCCGCAATGTTTTCGACGCAAAAATCGGTACGAATCTGATCGTCTTCTTTAAATTATTTGAAGTTAAGCATATCACCAAACCAGAGGACAATGCATACCGTATTACCTTCGTGACTATGATAAATCTCTTACGAAGCCTTCATAATCGATTAAGTTAAGATAGAAACAATTTGCTTCATCTTCATCAATTTTAAATCATGAATGGGGATATATTTGCGAATTCTCTGAGAAAAAGTTATGTATTAGCTAATTATAGAGAAACTAGTCACAAATAAATGAGGTTTTTTAAATCAAAACCCTCAGAAAATCACAGTGCTTCAGTCAACGGCGTCTGCAAAGAGATGGTAAACTTGAGTGTTGACTCCAAACGGAAACGTTCTTTCACCGATCACTCGAAAGGAAGAAAGGCACATCCAAATGTAGTACTTTACTGCTTTTTGAGTTTTCCCATAGGCGTTTTTTGTTATCTGTACTTCTTAAATGGTCTCGCTAAGGAATCCTCTAACCAATTCAAGATATAGGCACTTAACAGGTCGCGTATAGAGCCGTCTCATAAGGCGAAAAGACCTTTGAACTTTGCTTCACCCTGAAAAAATATGTGAACGAAAGCTGCAGGAGTCCTTATAAATTAAACCCTCATCAGTACGTCTCAAGTAGTCGGGTGCACCATAATGAAAAACACGGATCAGCGTTAAAAATCGTTGGCTTCCTTTGCTTATCGGCATATATGCGTCAGAAATGGTCGGTTGAGTCTCATTTACACTTTGACTACGACGTGCGCCATACGTGGTACATGCAATGATGTCCCAAACTGCGACGTGCGCCATATATGGTACACGTCTAGGACTGAAGTTATGCAGGTTTGAACACGCCGCACCACGGGCATACAGGCTATTTTGAGAGTCGCAGTCAAAGTGTTAAATATGGCCAATCATTTTATCCTCCGGAGAAATATATAATTGTGCTTATACTCGGCACTGCTTTTAATACCTGACAGGTTGCGACGCTTAAGCAGACTAACTGGCTAAGAAAAAGTGCCCTACCTTTGGTACTGAAAACGTGGTTTAGCTAACGATTCTAATGACTGCTTTTGGTTTGAAGTGGACCGATGGACAGTGAACACTCTGCTTCCAGTTTTCTTCTCAATGTTAAAAATGGATAAATTTTAGGTAAAACTCGCAAGATTTCGGTGTTCTGCCAGATCATTGCGATAGATCTTTGCTACACAAATGCCCCAAATAAGGAATGAATTTCAAAAAAACCAAATTGCACGACTGGACGAAATGTGTAACAAACTAAGCGAGGCACGTGTTTTTGATTTGTGAAATGAAATAGATAAAATAGCACGTGTTTCTGCTAAAATAAATATAGTTTTCCAGTGTAAAGACTTAATTATGGGGACCCAGAAATGGTAGGCTTACCTTGATTCCATATATCTATCATGTGTATGCGTAGGCCAGTTTTGCTAAGGGAATTAGTACAGATAAACACAAATTTAGTAATTACTTCATTTGGTTTTAGTTCACTGTTATAAAAGAACAGTTAAAATATTTCATATAGGTAAGTATTGTTCAATAGTTTAAAGTGCGCCAAATGACAGGTCCGGCAAAAGAAAAATTACGACCAGACACTCTTCGCACATGTCTCCCAAGTGACTACTTTGTGCTACGAGAAAATAACAATTATAAGTGAGTGGTTCTGGTGCAGTTTCAGAAAATAATTGACTTTTCGTGGAGTTCTTCATAGACTTTTCCAATCGCATGCTAATTTTACAGCCGAACTATTGATTCTCGGTGCTTTGCTGAATCCCGCTTTTTGTTTTCATTTAAAACACTGATGTCCTAAGTAATGCTCGAGGGTCGAAGTGAATCTGTTGAACATCAATATTTGTCAAATCGCCATATACTAGTTCTTTAAGGCACCTAGAACTTTATCAACCGATGCTAATTGGTCGTTCAGCGTCAAATTACCTTTTTAGAAAAAAGTTTTGTGGTTTGCTGAGGATAAATGATAGAAAAATTCAGACCAAAATACAGTTTCTCCTTTCTTCCGTTTCAGTAGTCAAACGTTAAAATTTCTTTTGCGTTTTTTCTACTCGTGAAATATAATGTGTTAGCGGTTTTGTTGACCATATTTTTAAATGCCACTGGGGATGATTCTGCTCTCTAAATCCCTCGACTCGCGTGTTTTGAGCCCAATGGGGTTACTGTATAACCATGACCCACGCAGACGCCTTATAAGCTTGTCGACAAATAAACGCGAGGCGTATCTTCCTATTGGCTCATACCGTGAGCCAGTCACGGCGTCGCATGGCGGCGTCAACCGCGTTTGGTTCGTGCAGCGTGACTATCACACGAATCTCCAGTTCTCACTTCAAACTCCATCAGCCCTATTGTGTGCATGTTTTCTGAGCTCCAGGCCGCCGCGTAAGAAGTCGCGGGTGCCTCGCCTCTCCTTGCCACGCTATGGAATTCAATACCCTTAAAGTAGTTCTCCTCGCGTTCATTGTGGAATATAGTTTCTGCGAAAAACTCACACCTCTTCTTCCCGGTGATCCCTACAATGTAATTGGAGATATAGAAAGCCGTCAACTGGGACGTTGCAATTATTCTTACGCGTGGCTCGCAATACCAATGGGTTCCAATCAAGACATTTATGCCCACGCAGCGGCCTGTGGACGATTGGAACTTCAGTTGCTGGAATTTGAGGCAGAG